GGCTATATAGTGAGTTCCAGGTCAGTCTCAACTACATAGTGAGGCCCTGTCTCAAAAAACAAAACAAAACAAAAAAATTCACAGACTGAAAGTCCAAGGATGGAAAACAATACTCTATGTGACAGAAACCAGAAAAAGGCAGGGGTAGCTATATTTTTAGACAAGGTGGATTTCAAACCAAGACTGATTAAAGAGAGACAAGGAAGGTCATTATATCGTTGTAAAAGGAACAATTCAAGAGAAAGATATCAATCATAAATATATATGCACCAAACACCAGGGTACCAAACTATATAAAATATTAAAACATGAAAAATCAAACAAACACTAATACAACTGTAATGGGGGACTTCAGCACCCCACTGTCACAGATAGATCAAGTAGACAAAACATCAATGAAATATCAGAACTGAACCAAACTTTTAAAGAAATGGATTTAGTACATGTCTGTAAAGCATTCCACCCCACGACATCAGAATACACATTCTTCTCAGCTGTACATGGGATGTTCTCCAAAACAGATCACATAATAGTTTATGGAACACGCTTAGGTGAATGCAAAGGAACTGAAATCATCCCATGCATATTATCAGACATAGTGCGATGAAACTGGAAATCAAAGGCAAAAGAAACCACAAGAACTTCACATATACATGGATATTAAATAACACTTTCCTGAACCAGCAATGGGTCATAGATGAAGTTAAAGAAAAAATTAGTTTCTACAATTAAACAATAATGCCAATACAATATACCAAAATGTATGGTACACAATGAAAGCAGTCCTAACAAAGGAAATGGATAGTGGTAAATTTCCATATCAGAAAAACAGAGTGAGCTGAAATAACCTAATGTTGAACCTCAAGCTTCTAAAAAAAGATCAAGTCGAGCCCAAAGCTCATAGGGGGAGGAAATTATATAGACCAGAGCAGAAATTAATCCAATGGAGACTTTAAAAAATACAAAGAATCAATGAATTGAAGAGTTGGTTCTTTGAAAGATTAAATAAAATTGACACTTAGCCAACCTTATCAAAAAAAGACAAGACTCAAATCCATGCAATTAGAAATGAAAAGGGTGAAATCACAACAGATCCTGAAGAAATACAGAAGACTATCAATAACTACTTTGAGAACCCCTATTCTAATAAGATGGAAAACACAAGAAATGGACAGATTCTTAAGATACACATGAATTACACCAAGCTGAATCAAGAAAATACAAAAATTTAAAATAAACCAGTATCGGTCAACAAACATGAAAAAACCCCAGGCCATGACAGATTCACTGCTGAATTCTATACAAAATTTAGAGAAGACCTAATGCCACTACTTTCAAATTCTTTAATGAAACTGAAAGGGAAGCAATACTCCCAAATGCATTCCTGGAAGCAAGCATTACCCCGATACCAAAACTAGAGAAGGATCCAACCAAAAAAGAAAGCCACAGGCCAATCTCTTTAATGAACATAGGTGCAAAAATTATCAATGTGATACTGGCAAACAGAATGCAGCAAATCATCAAGATCATACACCCTGACCAAATGGGATTCATCCCAGGGATGCAAGGATAGTTCGACATACATAAATCAATAAATGTAATACACTATATTAACAGAGTCAAGGACAAAAACTATTATGATCCTCTCAATAGATGCAGAAAAAGCGTCTGACAAGGTCCAACACCCAGTCATGATAAAAAACCCTACAGAAAATCAGTATAGATGGTCTTTTTCTCAGTCTGTAAAAGCCATCAATGACAAATCAACAGATATATCATGTTCAGGTACAAATTCCCTATGATGAATGTTACCATTTTATCAAGGACAAAAACTATTATGATCCTCTCAATAGATGCAGAAAAAGCGTCTGACAAGGTCCAACACCCAGTCATGATAAAAAACCCTACAGAAAATCAGTATAGATGGTCTTTTTCTCAGTCTGTAAAAGCCATCAATGACAAATCAACAGATATATCATGTTCAGGTACAAATTCCCTATGATGAATGTTACCATTTTATATATCAGTTTTATTGAATTTCCAACAGTGAGAATATTAGTTTTATACTTTTCTAATCAGAAAAAAATTTAAACCAAGTATACAGTATATGCTCAGTTAAGTAAATTTAGGGCGAGTCTTCTCTCAGACATAAGCTATCTTTTAGACACTGTGTCTATTTACCAAGTATGAATTATGTGAAGATTAGAAATAAAAATTGAATGGCCCATAGCTTCAAATAATCATCATGAAACTGAATGAGGACTAATCATTTCAGGGGAAGTGGAAAGCAGACTAAAATTCAAGTTACCATGGGAACTAAGCCTTGAAGACTGGTCAGAAAGAGGGAGACTATAGCCTAGCACATTCTGCGGCTGAAGCACTGGGCCCAGGAGACTACAGGAAAGAAGTGAGCCTGGGCTGGCTCTGCCCACTCTAACAGGAGGCCTAACTTTTTCTTTGTGATAGGGAAGACAACGCTGCAAGCACCAAGACCAACACAATCACATTTGCAGCAGTTGCAGTTGGGAAGAAACTTTGCTCTTTGGGAACAAGAGCCCAAGTCCCTATGAAAAGCAGCAGCAGTAACGGCAGAAGACAGCCTATAATGGCCGCCCGGCAGCAGGTTAAAAGCAGTCTGCACACGTCAAGACCTTGATCTACAGAACAACCCTCTGAACTGCCTAGCACAGCACCTCCTTACAGAGGAGGAAAGAGAAACAATGAGGGCAACGCCTCATATCACAGCCATTAGGTGGCACAGCAGAGCTTCAAGCTGAGCCATGGTGGACCCACAAAGGCCCTCGCCTCCCTGCTCACTCCCAGGGGCATCAACTCTCTCCTGCTAAGACCAATCTTCCTGAGAATCAGGAAATGTTCACAGGCTTCAGATCTTTCTGGACAGCACCCAGCGCAGTTCCAGTGTCCCTAGTTTCTTTAGAAGGTTACTCTCCCCACAGGAATGACACACGTCTGGGTTACGGTCTGCACATGCTGTATAACAGACAAGGACGACTTTCACCGCTGACAGGCTCCAGCCCCAAAGGAGTGTACCAATTAGTTAACAGAGGTAAATGCTTGTAACAGTGCTTCACCCACAGTATGTTAAACAGAATACTAGCATTAGCTCTTCTCTCCCCATTAGTAAGGCGGTGTCTTAAGGGCAGGCATTTTCGTTTTGGTATTGACAATTGAACCCAAGGTCTTTGAACTCAGCTCTATCCCCAATCTTTCTTTTAAATTTTATTTTGAGACAGGGTCTCGCTAAGTTGTTCAAGCTGGACCTAAATTGTAATCCTCCTGCCTCAGCCTCCCATAGTGCAGGGATTATAGGAGTGCACCACCATGCCTAGTTCCTATCTCTTGATATGGTCCCAATGCTTGGCACACAGTAAATTCTCAATTAAGTATCTTCTCAGAACTATGTATGAACAAACTGAAGAACAGCTTCCTTCAAAAACTGAGACCCAATGCTTGGCTCTTACTACTTAGTTGAGGCACTACTGCACTTAAAAAGGAAAAGCATGTAGGAAAGATGCATTCTCATACAATGCTAACAATTATTCAAATCACTGAAACTCCATTTAGGAAGGAATCATATGTCTTTAAAAAAATGCACACACTGCTCCAGGGATTTAGATTTAGCTCAAGCTCAGTGGTTCTGCTGCCTGCCTCACAAGCCATGGTACAAAAAAAAAGAAAAAAGAAAAAAGATATACAAAAAATGCATATACCCTTTTGTACAAAAATTCACCCTAATCAATTATGTGCACAAATCGAAAGGTACAGTGATGTTCATTAGCATCTTTTTTGCAACACTAAAAAACTAGAAATACATCATTATCCAATGTGTTAAATGACAGTATTTCCACACAATGTAACCCTATAAATGAAGAATATTTATATAAATATGGTCATGTTAAAGTAAATTGTAAAACAGAAATGAACAATATAATCTTAGCAACTCTATATGCATAGAAGCCAAATGTTAAATGTAATTATATCTGAGTTATGGGATTTTTATTTTCTTAATGGTTTTCCTTTAGCATACCTACATTTTCTATTTTTTTCCAGTGTGTTTTAGCTTTGCTTTTATTAAAGGTTTTAATTAAAAAAAAAAAAAAAAAAAACTTTTGAAACAAGGTCTTGTTATGTAGCCCAGGCTGGCCTCAAACTCACAGTGATACTCCTGCTTCAGCCTCCTGAGTGCTGGGATTATAGGCGTGAGCCACTATGCCTGACTAAAGATGTTTTTAAATGGAAGTTCACACGTGGGTGAAAGAGAGATACTTTTGACATTCACAGAATCAGCACACATGGTTTTAACAATCTGTACTCTAAAATCTACAGCATATAGATTTAAAGATACAGATATAAGATGCAGTTCTGCTGTTATGAGACTGTAACTGAGAGGGCTGGTTAACAGTCGAATTTCCAAATCTCAACTCAGCTCTGAAGTTGCAGGATGAGCTCTATAGATGATCTAAAGTGAATCCCAGAGCTATCTAAGCACCGAGTTCAGGGCCAAGGATGTGGCTCAGTGGCACCATGTCTGCCCTGCAAGCAAGCACAAAGTCCTGAATTCAATTCCTGGTACTGAAAAAACCAACCAACCAAAGCACTCAGTTCAGGAATGCTCTCACTAGACCAAAACAGATTGATTACAGGGGTTGAAGCAGATGGATGAATAATCTGTTCATGCCAGCTTCTGTCATGCTCTATAACCATACTGCAGTGTCACTCCAGGACCAATGATAAAGCAACTATGTGATTTCCAGCAAGTGCTTTGTGTTTGGTCTGTCTATCGATATCTAATATAGCCCTTTCTCACTGAAACTGTCAGTTCTCTACCAAATAAACCACAGAGACACACCTCTGAGGGATGGTAAAGTTCTCTGGAAGTGTAAAGGCAGAGCGCTACATTTTAGTACATCCACACCTGGTTCCTTCCTCTCCTCTCCTTGCCAGCATCCACCCCTCCTATGATGGGCTCAACCCTGTACCTCTGGTAAGATGAATTGTTCCACAGGCTTGTACCACAGCTTGTTCACCTGAATGCCACAGCTCGGAGGACTAAAGCGAGCAACGAAGAGGGCCTCCTACATGTTGGGAAAGGCAAGGGGCATGAAATAGAAAAACAAAGAGAAGAAAAAAATATTTCATGTTATATACTACATACGCAACAAGTCTTACAACACCTTCCAGGCGGATCAGTCAATAAAATCCATTATGGTCCTAACCATGGTGACTCGTTCTACTGTGATTCTAACAATTGTGGGGTTTTCTAGTGCATTTGTGCTTATTATGAAAAGATATTTAAGATAACCAAAGTTGCCTTTAAATTCTCAACTACTAAACATAACCCTAAAAACAAAACCCATCTTGAGATGAAAAGCATTAAAGGAAGTGAGAGGTGTTATTAAATTCAGCCAATCAGTGTCAAAACTCCCTCAAAACAAAACAAACTCCCTCAAAGGTTTAAAAATTAACATAAAAATCACAAATTTATAGAGAATGGGAACAAAAGGACTCAGGAACCCCCTTCAAAAAGAACTATCAGGCTGAATGCAGTAGAATCCCAGCACTCTTGCAATGCCAAGGCAGGACTGCAAGTCTTGAGCCCAAGCTAGACAATTTATTTATTTACTTTTTATCTTTATTAAGTTTATTGGTACATTTTAGGTATACAATATAGTTACATTCATCATGGGGATCTTGTACCTTTACATGACTTACCTTGGTTCTTATTTTCCCCATACCCCTGCCCTCTCTTCACCCCCTCCACCCTTCCGTTTACAAAGACTTTGTTCCATGTTTTTCCTTTTCACATATTTTTCTCTTCCCATGTTACCTTTCTTCTACCCAACTTCTTCTACTCCTTTAGACCTTTTCTTCCTATTACACAACATCAATTATACATTTTGATACTTAAGTTTTTCAGACCAGAGAAACTATTCAGTATTTACACATGTGACTTACTAATTTCACTTAAGAGTATGCCCTCAATGTGCATCCACTTAGCTATATATATATATATATATATATATATATATCTAGTTTCCCATTCTTTATGGCTGAGTAGTACTTCATTTTATTAAAAATAAAACACATCTTTTTTTTTTTTTTTAGACAGGGTCTCACTATATAGTTGAGACTGACCTGGAACTCATTATTTAGCCAAGGCTGGCCTTGAACTCATAGCAATCCTCCTGCCTCAGCCTCCTGAGGGCTGGGATTGCAGGTGTGCGCCGCCACACCCGGCCCACAAAACACATCTTTTTTATCCAGTCTCCAGTTGATGGGCAATTGCACTGTCTCCAAACTTTAGCTATTACAAACTGTGCCTCTATAAACACAGGTGAGCATGTATCACTGCAGTATGATTCTTTTAATTCTTTTGGGAAGATTCCCAGCAGAGGGACAGCTGGATCAAATGGGACCTTCTAATCCTAGTTTTTTGAGATATTTTCATATTGATTTCCACAGTGGTTGCACCAGTCTGCACTCCCACCAACAGTGAAGAAGGGTTCCTTTCTCCCTACAACCCCGCCAGCATTTGTTATTGTTTGGTTTCTTGGTAGCAGCCATTCTTTGTGGGGTGAGGTGGAATCTCAGTGTTGTTTTCATCTGCATCTCTCAAATGACCAGTGATGTTGAACATTTTTTCATATGTTTATTTGCTCCTTTTACTTATTTGTCTTAGAAATGTCTGTTCATTTCAGATGCCCACTTTTGAAATGAGTCTTTATATTGGGGGGGGTCTGATTTTTTTGAGTTCTTTATATATTCTAGATAGTAGACCTTTGAGTAACAGCCAGTAAAAATTTTTTCTCTCAGCTCTGCTTGTAATTTCTCTGGCAGTGCAGAAGCTTTTTAAAAAGATGAGATCCCAGTTGTTGATTTTTTGTGCTACTGAGTATTTGTTCATAAAGTCTTTTCCTATGCCAATATCTTTAAGAGTTCTACCTAACTTATCTTCTGTCAAGTTTAGTGTTTTTTTTTTTTTCTTTTTGGTACGGGGGATCGAACTTGGGTCCTTGTGCTTGCAAGGCAGGTGGCAGAACCACTGAGCTAAATTCCCAGCCCTAGTGTTTCTGCTTTTTTGGTACCGGGGATTGAACTCGAGTCCTTGCGCTTGCAAGGCAGGCCACTGAACCACTGAGTTAAATCCCCGGCCCTCTGTTTTAATATTTGTATCTTTAATCCAATTGAATTTTAGTTTAGTGCATGGCGAAAGTTACAGGTCTAGTTTTAATCTCTGACAAGTTGAAACACAGTTTTTTCAACACCACTTATTAAAGAGGCTATCTTTCCTCCAGTGAGCATCATTGTCTCCTTTGTTAAAGGTGAGGTAGCTGAGTATGTCAGGAGTTGTTTCTGCATCTTTTAATCTGTTCCACTGATCCTCAGGTTTGTTTCTTTGCCAGTACCATGCTGTTTTTATCACAATGGCTTTGTAGTATATTTTCAAGTTGGGGATTGTGATACCCTCTCTCATGCCTCTGTAGCCTACAAGTCCTTTTGCTATTCTAGATCTCTTCTGGTTCCAAATGCATTTTTGGATTGTTTTCTCTAGTTCTGTGAAATATACTATTGGGATTTCAATGGGGATTCCATTGAATCTGTATTGCAGTTTTGGAAGTATGGCCATTTTTACTATACTGATTCTTCCTACCCAGGAACAAGGGATGTCTTCCTTTTTTTATAACCTCTTCAATCTTTTTTCAGAGTGCTGTACTTCACAATGTAGAGGTCTTTTGTTTCCTGTTAGATTGCTTCCTAGATATTTCATTTTTTGGATCTTATTGTGAAAGGGATTGTTTCCCTAATTTCACTCTCAGTGAGTCTGTTATTTGTATACAAGAAAGCTATTGATTTTTCAGTGTTCACCTTGTATCCAGTTACTTTACTGAATCTGCCAATTAAATCTAGAAGTCTTTTGGTGGAGTTTTTTGGGTCTTCTATGTAGAGTATCAAATAATGACAGTTTAACTTCTCCCTTTCCTATCTTTATAGCTTTTATTTCTTTCTCTTGTTACTGCCACTACTCTTTAAATTCAATGAAACTGCAAGGGAAGCAATACTTCCAAATTCATTGCTGAAAGCAAGTGTTATTTTGATTCCAAAATCAGGGAAAGACCCAACCAAAAAGAGAGAATTACAGGCCAATCTCCCTAATGAACACAGATGCAAAAATCCTCAAAAAGATACTGGCAAAGAGAACACAGAGGGTCATCAAGATCATACACACTTACCAAGTCTGATTTATCCCAGGGATGCAAGGATGGTTTAACATACATAAATCAATAAATGTAATACTCTATATTAGCACAGTCAAGGACAAAAACAATATCATCATCTCAATAGATGTAGAAAAAGCATTCGAAAAATTCAACACCCATTCATGATAAAAACCCTGCAAAAAAACTGGTATAGACTGTCTTTATCTTAACTTGATAAAAGCTATCTATGAAAAGCCAACAGCCAACATCATACTAAATGGTCAAAACTGAAAACTTCACACTAAAATCAGAACACGACAAGGATGTCCACTGTCACCACTTCTGTTCAATATAGTTTTGGAAACATTAGCCAAGGGCAATTTAGGGAAACTCTGTCTAAAAAAGCGGGGGGGATAAAATTCAGTGCAAAGCTCTGGGTTAAATCCCAAAACAAAAACAAAACAAACCTTCATAAGATAATATCCACTAAACAAAAAAGGGAATATAAAAGAGAACTGATTCTCAGGATATCTGTTTGCTTTGTGCACTCCCATTTCTTTCAGCTGAGAAAATTGTCTTATTCTCATGGCTATCTTTATATACTAAGGTGCCACAAGTAAAACTTCTGTTAAAGCAGTCAAGACTATGTAGAAGTTTACAATGGACAAGTCACTGTAGTTGTCTATTTCTTTCATGAACACCAGTTCTTAGCAATGTACTTAGGACATATTTTGCACTATGATGTGTGACCCACTTATCCCATTGTCCATGCCACTTTCTGGAGAAGTTCTGGAAGTTCTTTTATGTCTATACAAGGTGACATCAAAAATATGATACGTGCTGCTGCCCAGTGCCATCCAATGAAAAGGCAAGATCATAAAAAAATTACATCGTGTATCATATTCCTACCGTATTCACCAGATCTGGCACTATTTGACTTCTGCTATTCCCCAAAGTCAGAGTGACTGAAAAAGGTAAATGTTCTGAATCAATTTAGAACATCAAGGCAGTTAGGACAATGCAACTAAAGACACGCCCAAAATAAATCTTCCAAACTCCTTCATAAAGTAGCAAGAATGATGGGATGAGTGTGTCCAAAGAGAGGGGGATTAATGGCAATGTGTCTTTTTTTTTTGAAACAGTCTCACTATGCAGTTCAGGCTGACCTTAAACTTACTATATAGCCCAAGCTGGCCTGCAACTCTCGACAATCCTCCTGCCTCAGCCTCAGTGCTGGGATTACAGGTGTGCTCCACCAGGCCTAGCCCAGTGTGTCTTATGGTGTAATAAAAATTTTTTTAATTTAAACATTCACTTTTTTTTTTCATTACATTTCTTATGTGTATCCATGAACCCTTTAGGACCTTCTACCAGTTCTTTTTGAGCACAAAATATTACTAACTCCTCTCTGGCTAAAAATACAGCAACTAAAAGTTTCAACACGATCAAAATACTGTGTTTGAACTAAACTTCTTTACTGGCAACCCAAGCATTACAAATTATTTTTTTAAGAAGACCATACCGAGACAATTTAGTTGAATCAAAAATTCAACATTAATCCTAATTTCTAGATAAGGATAACAATGAATTCACAATCAGTGCAATTTCAGCTACCTGCCTGAGTTTCAGCATCAATAAATTTTTGTGTGTATGTACGGGGAATTCTGGGGCTAGAACCTGACCTCCCACATAATATGGTAGTGGTTTATCTCTTCGCTACCCCACTCTCCATTCAATGAGTCTTTTCTTTAATTAATTTTTTTTTGGGGGGTGAGACAGGGTTTCCGATATGTACTTCAGGCTGGCCTTAAACTCATTATGTAGTCCAGGCAAACCTGCTCCCTCAGCCTCCTGAGTTCTGGATTACAAGTGTTCAGTATCTTGACACACAGACTACTACAGCTGAGAAACTTGACAAAGCTCTACTCACTATAGTCCAGGGGCTGGATTCATTTGTTCCCTCTATTATGTCTATCAATACACTCAAAACTATAACTTCTAAAGAAGAAGCAAAAAAAAATTTAAACTTAAATTAATCTTTATATTTACTAGGGCCTTCCAAGACTAATTCTACAGATAACAACTATGAACTCAGGACAAAACTTAAAAAACAATGACCTAAAAGCACTGGAACTGGATCAAACAGGAAGAACATGGAGGAGAGTAACACGTGAAGAAGGAAACTGGATAAGTTTCCCATGTTTCTTTCTTTTTTTTTTTTTTTTTTTTTACCAGGGATCGAACTTGCAAGGCAGGTGGCGGTACCACTGAGCTAATCCCCAGCCCAGCCCACCTTCTTTACTGATTTTTGTCCAAAGGTAGAACTCTAGGGTAACTAAAAGGCTGAATAAAAACCTGTAGTCTTTCTGCCTGAAAAATTAAAGGACAGAGGAAAAGAAAACATCAGCTAAAAAGTGAAGGGGAATCCCCCGCATAGCATGAACTTTGCACAGAGGGACAGCCACAAATTCTACACACCAACTCCGCCCAAATCTGTGGCTGACTCATGAAACACACATTTGAAGCCAAACTCAAAGCAGTCCATGTAAGGCCAAAACTGAATATAGAGATTTCAGCTGCTGTTCACTGCAAGAAAAGCAGTTTGGAATCTGTGTCTGGCCAATTTAACTGCCTGCTAAAACAAAACAAGTAAAAAAAAAATCAATACTCTTTGAGGAATAAAATGGAATCCAGGGCTCCTACACCCAATCATTCACAGTACCCAGGCTTTAATCCAAGGTACCAGATATACAACAGAAAAAGATTATGATACTCAAGAGAAAAAGATGATGATCAGTAAAGATCATTAAAGACCCCGAGATAACTTGGAATAAACCCACTAGGGTTTTTTTTTTTTAAGTAGTTATAGCACAGTCCTACTAGACAAAAACATGCTCAAAATTAATGAATAACACAGAGATTTTAGAGAAATCAAAACTGTAAAAAAAAAAGAACTGAAAACTGAAGAAGTGTATTTAAAATAAACCTAAAATTAAAGGTTCATTGAGTAAGCTTAACTGCAGATTTGAGATGGCAGAAAAGTTAGTGAATTTAAATATAGATTAACAGAATGTAAAGCTGAAAAAAATGGAAGGAAAATGAAAAAAACTCCACAGATTTGCGACCGGTAGGGAAAATACTTAGAGATCTAGCATACAAGTAACCGGAATCTGAGAAAGAACAGATGGAATGAGTGGCCCTGGAAAAAGTTCTGAAGCAGTTATCAGCTGAAAATTCTCCAAACTTGGTAAAAGATGCACATTTAGATTTAAAAAACTTGGGAAGTCCTGAGCAGAAGAGACATACAAAAACGACCGCAAGGTACAATAATCAAATTATTTAAAACCAAATATAAAAGTAGCCCCCAAACAAAGGAACAGTCGCACCACTAATGAGAACAGTTATCGAAGGATGGTGACATCTCACCAGAAACAATGGAGGCCAAAAACATGGAGATAAATCATTAAAATACTGGAAAAGAAAACAACAATCACCACCCAAAATTTCATATCCAGAAAACAATCCATGAAAATAGAGTAAAATTAAAATATTTTCAGAAAAATGAAAACTAAGCAAATTCAGCAGCAGCAAATATTATCAGAACTAAAGGTAGATTATAGCAGAGAGACATTTAGGTATTCACAGACAAACAATAGAAATGCTAACTATGTGGGGAAATACAAGACTTTCTCTACAATCCTTTAATATACACTGTTTAAAGCAAAAAATATATACTGTAAGATTTAGTGCACATATACGATACAAAGCGGAGTAATGGGAACAAATTCATGATGTTAAATGGAACTCTAAGCATCTCTAAGACTGAAAAATCTGGGATATGTATTATAATCCTTATGTCAACCATACACAAAAGTAGTAACATGGAACTAGCTAAAAAGCCAACAGAAAAATTAAAATAAAATTCTAAAAAATATATTTAACCTCAAAGAAGGCAGAAAAGGAGGAACAAAAAGGAGAATCAAACAGAACACAAGTGATAATATGAAACTTGTAATCTGGGGCTGGGGATTTAGCTCAGTGGTTCTGCCACCTGCCTCTCAAGCACAAGGTCCTGAGTTCAATCCCTAGTACCAAAAAAATAAGAAAAAAGTTGAAATCTGACCACTGTGACAATTATTAAATGTAAACAGAGTAAATATTTCCTATAAAAAATACTAGAGATTCTTAAGTGTTTATAAAAAGAAAAGCCCCCCCCCCTTTTGATGTGTATAAAATACAATTTCTAATAATAAATAAAATGCAATTCATCACAGTAACAAACTAAAGGATAAAAACCTTGGAAACAGTCTGGGTTCCCACCAACACTAGAATGGATAGGTAGCCTATACTTATATTTATTTATTTTTGGTACCGGGGATTGAACTTGGGTCCTTGTGCTTACAAGGCAGGCTAGCCTATACTTTTAGGCTACTACTCAGCAATTAAAAAGAATGAAAAGGGAAAATTCACTAATCATATAACATGATGAATAGTTTCAAAATGTGGAGTAACAGATGATGTATATAATAGAGCACTTCTGTAAGCTTCCCGTTTATATATGAAGTCCCAGAATAGATAAAATCAGTCTATGGCAAAACAAAAAAATCTGAACAGTGGCTGCCTTTGGGCAATAGGAAAGGAACTGACTGCAAAGGAACATAAGAGAACTATCTAGGATCACATGCTTCAGGTAACGACAGAAGCTTGGGTTAAACAGGTTATAGAATTTAAAACTGCATGCACATTCCACTTTATGTAGTTTAAGAACAATAAAAAAATTAAACTCTAGCTAACGATATGCACGCCAAAGCACTCAAGGGTGAAGTGTACCAATGTGTGAAACACATTTTAAAAAGATGAGAAGGCCAGGGATTTAGCTCAGTGGTTCCACTGCCTGCCTCGCAAGCACAAGGACCTGAGTTCAATTCCCGGATCCAATAAATAAATAAATAAAAAGATAGATTTATTTTGCATTTTCAGTATTTTTAAAACCCAGAAACAGATCTTTTCCAATACAATTCCATTCTACACTCCTTCTGATATATCATGTGATAAAATTGGATCTCCCCAAATCCAGAAAAAGAGTAACCACAATTGTTCTGAATTTTTCTTCTTCTTACATTTTTATTACAAAAATCTCTTAGCCCTTTGTTGTAAATTTTTAGGGTTGGAAGAGATATAATCCTAAGAGGCCCCCAATTTTTTTTGTCTTTTGAGACAAGGTCTCACTACATAGCCTAGGCTGGCCTCAAACTTGCTGTGATCCTCCTGTCTCAGCCTCCTGAGTGCTGGGATTACAGGTGTTCACCACCACACTCAGCTACAAGGTCCCAAATTTTTATACCCATCACAAACTTCTGAGCTTTTGGATTGGATTTTTTTGTTGTTGTTTTTTTTAACCCAGGGATTGAACTCATGCCCTCGTGATTGCGAGGCAGGAAGCAGAACCACAGAGCCAAATCCCCTGCCCTGGAAATTTCTAATCTAGTCCAACATTTTTCTTTTCTAGATATAATGCATTTATTCACAGTTAACCTCTTTTCAAACCAGTAGTATAATTATATTTTTGTTTGCTTGTTTTGGTTTTTTCTTTTTTCTTTTTTTTCAGCTTTAATTGAGTTTATTGGTACATTTTAGGGATACAGTACAGTTACATTCATTATTGGGATCTTGTACCTCTACATGACAAGTCTTGATTCTCATTTTTGTTTTGGTTTTTTTTGAGACAGGGTTTTACTTTGTAGGTGAGACTGACCTGGAACTCACTGTGTAGCCCAGACTGGTCTCAAACTCACAGCAATCCTCCTGCCTCAGCCTCCCGAGTGCTGGGATCACAGGTGTGTGCCACCACGCCCAGACAGTAGTATAATTTTTTGCACTACAACGTATTCTGCATTTAGTCAATAAAGGAAGAAAGGTGGAAGTCTCTCTCAACAAAAGAGAATTTTTTTTTGGTACCAGGGATCAAGCTAGGGTCCTTACACTTGCGAGGCAGGCAGCAGAACCACTGAGCTAAATCTCCAGCCCAAGAGAGAATTATATACTCTTCCTATCTACGGCATACCATAAGGAAAAGTTAGGTTATGGAACAAGGAAAACATAGGATGTTCTGTAGAAAGTAGTGCTTACCTCCTGTTCTGCCTGATAAAGCTTCACTGTGATGTTCCTCTGGAAACCCACGTCACCGGTGTCGTAGAACACCCCGAGACTGGTAATAATGATTGGGTAGAGAACTCGGAAGCTCACACTGACAACTCGGTCCTCGGAGAGCTCTGATGTAGCATCTTCAGAAAGACTGAATGCCTCAATTTCCTGATTCAAAACTAAGGAAGGAGAACAAGAGTTTTAAATAATCAAAATAATGCTGGGGATTTAGCTCAGTGGTTCTGCCACCTGCCTCACAAGCACAAGGACCCAAGTTCGATCCCCAGTACCAAAAAATAAAAAATAAAAAATGTAAGTCTATATAATCAAACTGATATGAACTAGTGAAGTAGCCTTTAACAGTAAGATCTAACAGATCAGTTTTGTTATATGATTCTTTCACAAATGGCAGAAATTTTTACAAAATTCTTCAGAATCATGAATGCTCCTAGAAAAACAAACCTATTTTGAAATTTAACCATGAACTTTTCATGTAAATCATTATTCAATCATCACAACTGCTTTAGCAGATTTTTTGCATACATGTGTATGTATATATACGCAGATGCATAAATATCATAGAATTAAGGCAACTGGAGGGCATCTATTTGAAAGGAATGGACAAAAAGGCAATAAACACAGTACTAACTACAGTTACAAATAATCAGTAAATTTTGAGTCAGGCACAGTGGTGCACACCTATAATCCCAGCAACTGAGGTTGAGGGAGGAGTACAAATTCTAGCCCAGCCTATGCAACTTAGCAATGCCTTGTCTCAAAATAAAAATTATAATAAAAAAATTTTAAAATGGCTGAGGATGTAGCTCATTACGAAGGCCCTGAGTTCAATCCCCAGTATCAGTGGGGGAAAAATATCAGTAAATTTGGTCTTGTTCTACAAATTCTGATGTTTTATTTCTTTTTAGGCAATTTAAGATATTTGTGACAAATCAGGCAACTGTTACAGTACAGTAGTAGCTAGAATCACTTCAAACAACACTGAAAAATTCTTGCTGTACAATATTGATAAAAGACAAGCACAGTAAACACAGAAAGCATTTCTGACTGCCTACCTGTGATGCTACCACCAAATTCACATTTTCACAACTTCCCCCTGTGGGGGAGGAATTTGTTTTCAGTCTAAAGACTGAGAAATTGACACAGTAATTTGCCCAATGTCACCGAAAATGGCAGTCAGGAGTCATACCCAGGACTAAGGACTCCCAAGTCAGTGGTTTTCTATTCCTCCCCAGTTGCCTAATCAGTGTCCAAACAGTCCTTTTCAAGTAATTTCTAATTCTTTAAGTGTATCAAGATAGATTATAAGGGCAGTTAATATGGCAGAGACTACCAGTGCTATTTTGAGAAATACGATCTTTAAAAAAAATTATATCAAAGTTCTTTGTGCCTTTTACGGCTGTAGTTTTCAAACTTTGCTGATTATACCACTTCATAAGTTAAAAAAAAAAATCTGTACTCATATCCATATATTTACTTACAAAATAAATACAAATACTAGGGACCAGAAATGTAGCTCAGTATTGCCTAGCAAGTGCAAGGCCCTGAGTTCAATCCCCAGTACAAAAATAAACACATACATACATACAAATACTGTAGTCATACTCAGTATTAATAAAAATACTTTATTTTCAGATAAATAAAAATTGTAGTTCAGTGGTAGTTTGCTTAGCATGCAGGAGGCCCTGGGTTCAATCCTTAGCTAAAAAAAAAAAAAAATTAGTAACAAATAAAATTTGTATTTTCTTCCCGAATTCCCACAGGTCATTTGGATCTTCCCTTTTAGAGTTACACTTGGTAGATGCTCAATAAAATATAACTAAAGGGGAAGTGATGGCTTCTACTCAATTACAGGAAATCTTTTCTCTCCTGAGACAGAGTTTCACTATGTAGTTCAGACTGCCCTGGAACTTACTGTGTAGCTTTCCTGAGACAGAGTTTCACTACGTAGTTCAGACTGCCCTGGAACTTACTGAGGCTGATCCTCCTGCCTCAGGCTCTTGAGTGCTGGGATTACAGGCGTGCACCACCGCACCTGGCTTGTTGCTTTATTTTTGAGATGAGGGTCTCACTACATTGCCCAGGGTGATCTAGAACTCCTGGGTTCAATGTGATCTTCCCACTTCAGCCTCCCAACAGCTGGGACTATACATGTTCAAATGTGCCAGGCTGGTTAATGCTGTTGTTTTGATAATACTATTAATCAAACCTTCTACACATCACAGTATCATGATGAACGCTGTGATCTACAGGTAATGAAATAACCCTAAATGCTTTCAGGAAAATAAAAGATAAAATTAGTGTTTGTGTGTGTGTACAAATATTTTTTAAAAAACTTTTATTACTACATTTGCAGTTCATGCAGTTTATAATCATGTTGGGAAGTAGTTACAGCTACATACCACAGCTTGTTTTTTTTTTTTTTAATTCTCTTCCCCTTCCCACCCGCTCCCTCCTAATTAATAGAGAAGTCTATTTCTTTACTGTTTTTGCCATCTTTGGTGGTGGGGGGGTACCAGGGATTGAACCTGGGACCTTGCACTTGCCAGGAAGGCAGCAGAACCACTGAGCTAAATCCCAGGCCCTACTCCTTTACTGTTAATGAATAATGGCATTCAAAATAATAACTTCTAGATTTTCTTCTTCTTCTTTTTTTTTTTTGCATTGCTGGGAATGGAATCCAGGGCCTGGGTTCTGTTAAGGGCTCTGCCGCTTAGTTCCATCTGCCTAGCCCTGGAAAATTCAAAGGTCACAACTTTTTCTAGTTGCTGTTTGGTTTGGTTTTCACTCATTCTTTTTTTTTTTTTGGTGTACCAGGGATCAAACTCAGGTCCTTGCGCTTATGAGGCAGATGGCAGCACCACTGAGCTAAATCCCTGGCCTCTCGTTCATTTATTTTTGAGAGAGGATATCACTGTGTAGTTCAGGCTGGCCTTGGACTGAGTAACCCAGGCTAGCCTTAAACTCATGAAGATCCTTCTGCCTCAGCCTCCTGAGTGCTGGGATTATAGGCATGCACCAACATGCCCAGCTGGTTTTGATTTTCAAGCATATCTTGTTGTAGGACACCACATCATCACTAATACAACATTTACGAGGTGCATAATATTTTTGGTTCCCCATACGTATACATAACCATAAAGGTTTGACAAAATTTAAAATAATACATCGTAATCAACACATGAGATACTGGAAAAGCCGAACATCTCTTGGAATCATAGATGCACATAACAGGAAGGGCTAATAAAGACAACTTACAACTTCCCAATATTAGTTCCTTGGTGACACACAGAAAATCTAATTAGAATCTATTTTCTTCATCATCAGAATCCCCACCACTTTCAAGAAACAGAAAGTATTACTTGTGTTAATTTCTTACTCTGTTTTGCAGAAGCACTACCAATGACCTCAACAGAAAGTTGACTCACAACATTTGTATCAATGCTATTATAAATCCACTGGTAAAATCAGCAAATTCTTCAAAGTGCGAAGTTCAGTAACTCATTTATCTAAGCATAAAGAATTTCTAGATGCATTTTAATAACTTTAAATATTCTACCAGACCCTGGAATTCTGTACCTGTGAAGAATCTCTATAGATTCCTGGATTAGTCAATCTAAGAAGAGGGATAAAACTCAAATTTTGATGGCAAAAACAGATTCCATACTATTAAGTTTAGCAACTTTTATTCATCACTGAACTTCAGATGGCAGTCTCTGGCAGAAGACAACTCACCTGGACTTGTGATGTTGAGCAGCTTACAGGAGTAAGGGTCCTCCCTGTCTTCCACAGGCACTGCACAGCCATGAGCACCTATTATGAACTTCACAAGCACACTGAGAGATGCGTTGGCATTAACATCGGTTACTTATCTTCACCTTATACATGAACATTTCCTCAGGCTCATTTTAGAGCTTTTACTTTAAGACATGAAGTATTTATGAGGATTAATCTCTACCGGTATTCTAGTATAGCAAAAAAGGGGAACATCAAATTGCTAACTAACACCTGACTTGTGTGTGAGCTTTCTCCTATACTATCGTATTAAAGCAAGTGTGAAAGTTTGCTCTGGCTAGCAGTGCCTGCTCATGCTATCTATAAGTATACTGTGTTGGGCCACGGATTTAGCTCAGTGGTTCTGTTGCCTGTGCCCTGCAAGCACAAGGTCCCAAGTTCAATCCCCAGTACCAAAAAATTAAAAAATAAAAAATAAAATAAAAGTATACTGCATTAACATCTCAAGAACAATCCCTATCTTAGCAGGGAGTGGTGGCCTACGCCTGTGATCTAGCACTGGGGAAGCTGAGCCAGGAGGATCACTGTGAGTCCAAGGCCAGCCTGATCTACACAGTGAGTTCAAGGACAGCCTACATTACATAGCAAAACCCTATCTCAAAAAACAAAACAAAACAAAAACAACTATCCATACCTCGAACTTTCCTTTTCTTTTTGTGGTATTGGGGATTGAACTTGGGGCCTTTGAGCTGAGCAGCTTTGAGATAGGGTCTTGCTAAATTGCCCAGGCTGAGCTCAAATTTGTGATCCTCCTGCCTCAGGCTTCCAGAATGCTGGGATTATAGTCTTGGGCCACTATGTCTAGCTTTTCTGTTTTTTTGTTTTTCTATTTTAGCAGGTCTTCCTTCTGCTCAAGATTAGTCTTTCTATCCCCCAAGATGAGGTCCCCACCACTCCCAGACGTTTCCTTACTGGTTACCCTGTAACTCTTACCTTCCACATTATAAAAACCCAGAACATGATCTAAGGTCTGCCCTTAAATTTCTTCTCCACCTGCCCACTCTTCCCTTCCTCTTCTTGGACAATATTATTTATTCTAAAGGACTCAACTAGCCTACAAATGATGTTTGAGCTACTAGCTCTCATTTAGACCTACCCACTGAGTAAAAGATCCATAAATTCATTGGATGTCTTCACCTACATTACCCACAGGCAGTTGTGCTCTGAAGCCTGCTAGTCCTGCCTTGTGAGAGCAACTATCATATTTTCAGGAATTTTGAGAGATGGTTATTCAGCAGATTTTCTTAAAAACTGAATTACATAAACTTACATTTAAGTATATTATGAACAAAAGAAACCGTCAAACTCATCATTTTCTAATTTTACTACATTTTACTATTATCAGTCTCTTGAGAATATTTGCATCTTTATATGTACGATGAATATTACGTGGCGTATTATGTACATCTTTCCCCAATTCTGCATTCAGTAATATCATCTTAGTTTCTTGAAATCGGTGTTGGTGGGACTATCTAGACCACTGAAACTGTCAAACAATAGAAGTGTTTGATATATTGTTTTCTTCATTGTACAGACTCAAAAGAACATGCAAAAAAGTTAATAATGCAAATTAAACATAGTGCACTCTATCTGGAGCTATATTGTGAGTAGTACAAAAAAAGGGAGAAAATACTCTTCCAATGTTCAAAGATTATTATGATTCAGCAAAGAAGTCACTGGCTTCATGGATCAAAAGTAAAATTCTGACGTACCTTAGTTGTCCTATAGTTTCACTTGTTAAAGTAAATATCTGTGTTAGAACTACACTTTGTCAATTGCAACCATGAATTGGTAACAGAAGAGTCTGGCAAACAAAAGCATTCTATTACAATCAGTTCACCAGGGACTTAGCTCAGTGGTTCTGCCGCCTGCCTTACAGTTTATGTCACAGGATTTACTAATATAATAAAGAGCACTATGTTATTATTCTTCAAGCATGTGTTACACCTTTTATATCAGCACAATTTATAATACATATATGCATACATATATGCATACTCTGTTCCAGAGAACCAGCCAGTAAGCATGTTCCAGTACACTGCTTCCTGTAGGGCCCTCAAACTCAACATGTTGAGCTGCTTTTCCCATGAGAGGTGCTCTTCGCATCTAGCACTCAGATGGAGTGAGGACCACTATTCTCCGAGGCACAAAGCTAGTAGTCACTCTAGATGCTTCCTGTTCGTTCCATCCTTACCTTCCACTTAACCCTCCATAGGCTTACTTCTCTCAGGCATAGGTCTGCCCTCTTTTCTCATTCTTTTTATTTAGTACATTTATTAGTACATTTTAGGTATATAATACAGATACATTGAATGGGATCGTGTACCTATATATAACTTAGCAGGTTATTTTTCCCCATTCCCCAGCCCTTTCCTCAGCCTCTCCACCCTTCCCTTACAAAGATACTGTTTCCATGTTTTTCTTTTTCACATATTTTTTCTTTTCCCTTTTCACCTTCCCCTACCCCTCCCACTTCCTCCACTCTTAACTTTTCTTCCTATTATATAATATCAATTATACATCTTGATCCTTATTTACATTTTTATTTTCTTTCTTTCTTTTTTCTTTTTTGGAGACAGGGTCTCACTATGTAGTTGAGACTGACCTGGAACTCACTATGTAGCCTAGGCTGGTCTCCGGCTCACAGTGATCCTCCTGTCTCAGCCTCCCGAATGCCGGGATTACATCTCATTCTTTCTTAACAGGGTCTCACTATGTAGCCTAGGCTGGCCTTGAACTCAAGATCCTAGGGCCTTAGACTCCCACGTGCTGGAATTACAAGTGTATGTCACCACACCTGCTCTCCTCTCTTTACATAACCTTTCTCTCTGTCACTCCTTTCTTCCCCGGCTTCCTCCCTAATACTCACCCCCTCAATAACCCTTACCCCCATAAAAACTCCTGTGCTCTAGTTGCATAGGATTGGAGTTTTCCAAATACTCTAGGATTATTTTATATTTCATAAGACCTGTAACATTTTACAACACTATTACATCTATTTCCTTTCACTAAACTTCAAGCCACTCTAAAGATTCAGGCTTAACTATATTTGTGGTTCCACCACACACAACACATTACTGCTTTAAAAAGACATTTAATACCTTACATAGGTAAAACATTTAACACTCACACCAACAACATTTGGAATAAAAGTATTACTCTTCATCTTAGCCAAAAGGCTGAGAAGCAATTGGAATAAAAGTATTAAATCCACATAATTACTCTGCCCCACGAAAGCTGTTTTTGGCTAATAACTGTTTTTATATAGGTGAGCTATCATTTTCATAAAACAAACCACAAAGCTTACAAAAGCAAATGAACTACAGGTGACCCTCTAAAGGTAAATCTTACTCATTACATTTAGTTCCGAGTCATTCATTCAACAGCTGTTGAGTGCCTTATTGCTAGGTCAGTGGTGGCAAACCTATGACACCCATGCTACTTGCTTTTCTTTTAAGACAAAAGATGTTAATGTGTAAGTTTGTTTTCTTTTCCCCTTGAACTAAAACCTGTTTCAATTTAATTGCAGTACTGGTACTTTGTGTGTCTTTTCAGTTGCAGTGTGGGCATTTGTCTCTGAAAGGTTCACTATCACTATGGACTTAAATTAGGTTCTAAGTATTGGGAATATAAGAGCAAAAAACAGATGAAACCTATATTCTAGTGGGGAAAGACAAATCATTTATAAATGTACAACTAAATACAATAAACATGCCAGTTAGTGCTACGTATAATGACAGAGCAAAGTGAGGGAACACAATGGAATAGACAGGTTGCTACTTGATATGGGCTGTCTGCTATGGTAAAATGAGCAGAGTCTGAAGGAAGTTAGCTGTGAGGGCAGTCAGTGTGTTAAACCACAGTGAAGCAGCCAGCATTCAGAGAAGGTTAAAGACAACAACAGACTGTGGATTCCATTCGGAGCAAGAAAGGTAGTCAGTGAAGGGGTATGAATAGAGGATTGACAAAGTTAGTTTTAAAAGGTCATTCTGAGCTGGGCACACTTGCAAAGCACTTTGGGAAGCTGAGGCAGGAGGATCACAAGTTTTTTGTTTTTGTTTTTTTTTTTTGAGACAGGGTCTCACTATGTAGTTGAGACTGACCTGGAACTCACTATTTAGCCCAGGCTGGTCTTGAACTCACAGCAATCCTCCTGCCTCAGCCTCCGAGTGCTGGGAGTACAGGTGTGCACCACCACACCCGGCCAGGATCACAAGTTTTAAACGCTGCCCGGACAGCCCAGCAACAACCTTTCAGTGGTTCCGGTCCCTGCTTTTGTAAGCTCAGCGACCTGAGTTCGATCCCTGGTACCAAAAAAAAAACTTTTTCCGGGCGTGGTGGCGCATGCCTGTAATCCCAGCACTCAGGAGGCTGAGGCAGGAGAATCGCTGTGAGTTTGAGACCAGCCTGGGATACATAGTGAGTTCCAGGTCGGTCTCAACTACATAGTGGGACCCTGTCTCAAAAAAAAAAAAAAAAAAAGACTAGGTGGCACACACCTATAATCTCAGCACTAGTGGGGGCTGAGGCCAAGGCTAGGCTGAGCTACACAGTGAGACCCTGTCTCGAAAAACCAAAAGCATACAAACAAACATCACTTGCTGCTGTGTGAAGAACTAAATGTAAGGGGTCGGGGTCAAAGGTAGAAACGAGATTGATGTAAGGGGCTTCTGCAATGATCTAAGTGAGAGATGGTGGTGGCTTAGGTGAGGATGGCAGTGGTACATGTGAAGAGAGTCCAATTCCAAAGGCAGCACCCAGAAGATATGCTATTGGGGAGGACATAGCATATGATAGCAGCAAAATTTTGGTCTAAAGGAATTCCTACTTTCCAAGATGGGAAAAAATACAGTTTCTGGAGGTAGTGATGATTCTGAGGCCTCTCATCTATTTGCTGGACAAAAGGTTCTATTATCACTGTGATTGTACCCTAAAGAAACCTATCTTGAAAAGGAATAAAAGCCCTTATGAATAAGAGAGGAAAGCTATAAATGTTCACTGCCAGTGACAAGAAAATTCACAACCTCAGTTCACTTGTATAGCTACTCAGTCACAAAAGTGCTGGTTTAACACAATCCTGAGAGGGTTTCTCAGTCCACCGCCCACGTGTCTGCACATAACTGGGAGTACAGTTTGCATGTTTCTTTCCCCGCAGCCCCTATCTCTACAACCTTGAGGCTAGTCCCACTGAGAACACACTAAGGCCCTGGGCTCCTCACCACAGTGAGCTTGATCCCAGCATGAGGGATGCTACAAAGGTTCAGGTCTGGGTGGAAGGTCAGGAAAAAGCCAGGCACTATGCCCACACCTCAGGCCACAGAACTGAAAATGCTATGACACGGAAGTCACTAAAGCTTAGCTGTGAGAAGTCCCTGCACAGTATTCTGGAATGCAACTGGTATAGTAAATCAAAGCAAAACAGAAACCACCCTAAGCATTTATGTAAGTATGAGGTATATTAACCAATGAATACTTTCCTCCAAGTAGCTTTTGACTTCAAATCTTGGCTAAATTTACTTTTGGGGCCCAATTATATATATATATATATATATAAGAAAAGCAACATGAAACAGCCATTTCTCCCAGGAAAATTTGAATTAAGATCTCTGACTCTTCTAAATAATGTTTTTCAGAAGTTTCAAACTAGGCAAGGGAATAATTCAAAAACCTACCGTTGACTTAATGCTGGATGTTCTGTCAAATGCTTCAACCAGGTGTTTCTTATCACATTTCGAAGCTCATGGTTATTTCGAGCTGACAATACACCAACCACCATATCATAGTGACTAGATTTCCACTGAGGAAGTAAGGTAGATTGATCTATAAAAAAAAGAAAATAAATCAGAAAAAAGTCATGTCTCAATTACTGTAAGTTCAATATGTAATACAAAAAGTATTACAAATAACAAATTTATGTTTGTAGAAAACACAAATAAACAGAAGATGACTTTTTTTTTTGGTACTGGGGATCGTACTTGGGACATTGCGCTAGCAAGGCAGGTGGTAGCACCGAGCTAAATCCCCGGCCCATCAGCTTTAAAAAAAAAAAAAAAAAAAAAAAAAAAAAAACATCATAAACCCATCATCCAGAGATAAACACTAGTAACATTTTTGGTGTAGTGTCTCTGCCCTCCCCAGAGGGTAATGAACCCAAGAACACTCTACCACTGAGCAACATTCCCAGCATTTTTTGAGTCAATCTAAATTGGCCTCAAACTTCAGATCCTCCTGCTTCAGCTTTCTGAATAACTGAGATTCCAGACATGTACCATGCACATGGCTTGGTACTGTCTTGTCTTCCAAGGGACTAGGTATTTAGCTCAGTGGAGCCAAGCCCACCTCACAAGTAGAAGGTCCTGAGTTCAATTGCCGGTACCAGGAAAACATTTTTTAAAAATTACAAGAAGAAAACAGGATCAAGTCTTGTATGTATTCATGCTCACATATGTAAATTTTTCAAAAAAAAGATGTTTATGAGAATTGGTTTTAAAAGGCAATGTTGAATAAATGCTAACAGGCAGCATAAATCAAGCTACAAGTAGAATCCTGGCTCTGTCACATACAGCGGCACCATAGTTCAAGAAATTAATTCTTTCCATGATTCTGGAAATGCTTGTAATTTGGTTGCAACCAGAATCATGGAACAAATTGTGGTAAGAATTAAGTTCATGAACTGAGGCACCACCATATTACCTACAAGTTATTTAACTTATTGGGCCTCAGTGTCCTTAACTACTTCCCATAAGTAGATATGTGCATAATACTTCCCAAAAAGCTGCTGCAAAAACTAAATAAGATATGTTTAAAGCCCTCGGTTGGGTACAAGGCATACAGTAGGCCTTCAAAAGCAACAACAATAGAAAATAATGCTTTGAGAGGTGAAGTCCTATACTAAATGTTATCTATTAAATTTGGGAAGACAAAGTTGAAGGACTTCCATACTGGAAAGAATCAGAACCCTTATTTAAACCAGTAATTAACTGCTATTCCGATCAAAGTTTTATTATATGCTAAATATTTTTAGTTTAAAAAAATCAGGGGAGCTGGGGATTTAGCTTAGTGGTGCCACTGCCTGCCTTGCAAGCACAAGGTCCCGAGTTCCATTCCCCAGCACCAAAAAAAAAAAAAAAATCATGTAACAAGTCGTGTAAATGGCTGGGGTTATTTTCTGTCATAAGGTCTACCTGTATTTCTAAAATCTGTCCTTAGAAAAACAAAGAAATAGGTATGTCATCCTTACTTTGTATCACTAATTTTACAGCTTGAGCCTACACACAAGTTTATATATAGCTCTGATCAAGGATCCATTTCATCTTTATTCAGTGGTGGGAACTAATCCAAAATGTTTCCAAAAATAAATTATTGAAAGCCAAGAATCTTTACTACATCAAGCACACTTTTTTTAAGCGCTGGGGATTGAACCCAGGGCCTCACACATGCTATGCAATTGTCTACTGAGCTCCATCCTCAGCTCTTAATGCAACATTTTTATATGCCAAAGGGTCTACGTACTTACTGCATTCAGGCTAAAAACAAAAACATGTTGATACTTTATCAAACGACTAGTTAACAAAAAATCAAAAGGGTCAATCCTACTAGGACAATTTGAAGGATATTACAACAATCATAAGAATGCAACAATTTGTAAAAACCTTACTTTTCACATTAAGATACATAGGCCATATATAATAGATATATTTGTTTTAAAACCTTTTTTTTTTTTTGAGGGGGGGACAGAACTAGGACTGGAACCCAGGACCTTTGTATTGAGCTGCAACTCCAGCCCTTATCTGAGACAGGGGTCTCCATAAGTCATTAAGTTGCTAGGGCTAAGCTTGAACCTGAGATCTTCCTGTCTCAGCCTCCCAGAGCTCTTGAACCATAGGCATGTACCAACACACCTGTGTATTTTAATCTTAAGTGGAACAGAGGTACTTGTTATTTTGTGGTACCATGAATCTCACATTAAAATAAAGTCTATAAATACAGAATTTATGTTTAACATAAATCCAAATTTTCATGGATTAAACCTGTTAATAGGCCAGGTTCACAGAACATGTGAAATGCGGTAAGGATTATATACAGAATACCCATCTAATTAATGTTCACAATCCTATCAAGTAGGCACTTAGTTGATCACATGAGGAAAAAAGACAATGAATTTAGTAAGTTGATCTAAGTCAAATAACTAGTAAATGGTTTGGCTAAAACTCCATTCTTCATTACTATTCTATACTGCAGCTCATGTAATTTAGTGCAGTTTTTTGTTTTGCTGTTTGATACTTGGAATTGAACTCTGAACCCTGCACTTGTGAGGCAGGCAGTGGAACCACTGGGCTAAATCCCCAGCCCTAGAGCAGTTTTGCCGAGTTTAAATTCTGGTTTTTTTTTTGCGCGGGGGGGGGGGGTTCTTTGGTACCAGGGATTGAACTCAGGTCTTTGCGCTTGCAAGGCAGGCCACCAAATTGCTGAGCTAAATCCCTGGTCCTTAAATTCTGATCTTTCATCTATGACACTAATTTGATTAGGCAACTAGTGATAATAAGATTACTGAAGATGCTGGTTAGCACACTGCTTTTTTGTTTGTTTTGGTAATGGGAATAGAACTACGGCCCTTGCACTTGTAAAGCAGACTGCAGAACCACTGAGCCAAACCCCAGCAGCACATCATTTTTAAATTCATGGCCCAGAAACATTTTTTCTCAGGTATCTAACAATACAATGAAAAATGCACCTAGTGCTGGCACTAACTCTAAATGCACCTAAATCAGGAGGATAACCAAAAGGCTGATGTAAAACTGACAATGGTATGTCCACCTCACTCCCCACTTTTCAAAGAGAAACAGTAAATACAAACACTTTTTCATCTTTTCATTATTTCATTTTTTCTTTTCCCTTATTACCCTTCCCCTACCCATTTCACCTTCCCTATACCTTTAGCTCCTTTCTTCCCCATTTCTAAATGTCAGTAATCTTATTAGGATCTTATGTATTATTGCAGATTATTCACACCAGGAAAACTATTCAGTATTTATACATGTGTGACGTATTTATTTCACTTAGGAGTATATCTTCAATATGTATCCATTTTCCTATGAATGAATCTATTTTCTCATTCTTTATGGCTGAGTAATATTCCATTTTATAGAAAAACCACATCTTCTTTATCCAGTTTCCAATGGATGGGCAAATGGGCTGTTTCCAAGATTTAGCTATTACAAACTGTGCTGCTATAAACATGGGTGCGCATACTTCTCTGTGATATGATTCTTTTAGTTCTCTTGGAAAGATACCCAGCAGAGGGATGGCTGGGTCAAACGGAACCTCCAATCCAAGCTCTTTGAGGTATCTCCATATTGATTTTCATAGTGGTTGCACCAGTCTGTACTCCCACCAATGGAGAAGGGTTCCTTTCTCCCCACAACCCCACCAACATGTTATTGTGTGATTTCTTGATAGCAGCCATTCTTTGTGGGGTGAGGTGGAATCTCAGTGTTGTTTTCGTCGAAATCTCTCGAATGATCAGTGATGTGGAACATTTTCTCATATATTTACTTGCTGCTTTTACTTCTCTGAGAAATGTCTGTTCATTTCGGATGCCCATTTTTGAATCGGGTCTTTATATTTGGGGGGGGCTGATTGTTTTGAGTTCTTTATATATCCTTAATAGTCCTTTGTCTGAGGAACAGCTGGTAAAAATTTTTTCCCACATTGTAGATTGTCTCTTAGTTCTGCTGATGGTTTCTTTAGTACAGAAGCTTTTTAGTAAGATGAGATCCCAGTTGTTGATTCTATCTGCTAGTTCCCGTGCTACTGAGGATTTGTTCATAAAGTCTTTTCCTATACCAATGTCTTCCAGAGTTCTGCCTAACTTACCTTCCAGCAAGTTTAATGTTTCTGTTTTAATATTTAGATCTTTAATCCATTTGGATTTTAATTTAGTGCATGGCGAAAGATAAGGGTCTAATTTTAATCTGTGGCAGGTTGACATCCAGTTTTTCCCAACACCATTTATTAAAGAGGCTATCTTTCCTCCACTGAGGATGGTGAGCTCCTTTGTCAAAGATGAGGTAGCTGAGTACATCTGGGTTTGTTTTTGTGTCTTCCAGTCTGTTCCACTGATCCTCAGGCCTATTTCTTTGCCAGTACCATGCTGTTTTTATCACAGTGGCTTTGTAGTATAGTTTCAAATTGGGAATTGTTACACCTGGTGCCATGTGTCTGTTGCCTAAAATGGCTTTTGTTATTCTAGGTCTCTTATTGTTCCAAATGAATTTTTGGATTCCTTTTTCTAGTTCTGTGAAATATAGTGTCGGAATCTCTTCCTAAATGACTTACTTTGATTAGCCATCAAAAATAAGGTAGTACTGGGCCTGGGATTTAGCTCAGTGGTTCCACCACCTGCCTCAAGTTCAAGGACCTGACTTCAATCCCCAGTACCAAAAACAAAAACAAAAACAAAAAAAAAACCCTGTTTGTCCTTCAAGAGGTATTTCAGTTATTTTAAAAATTTGCTTTTTTGCAGAAACATTGTTTCCTGATAACAGATAAATTAAAAAAAAATTTTTTTTAGCCTGAATGCATTTAGGTTAAATAAGAATTTTGCCCTTTCACAGATTTTAATCTTTTGAGAAGACATTTTGAAACAAATTAATTAGAGACTCTAAAACTTTTGCATATGCTTCTTTATTAAGAAACTGAGGCACACAGGATTTGAATAACTTCTTAATGAAATGTGGTATGCTGGCTAGGAAATCAGTGTCACAACTGGCCGGTGACTGCTTTGCCTGCTTCCTGTTACTAAACTGTAAAACTGTATTTACTGCTTCAGCCTCCCAAGAACTGGGATTACAGGTATGTGCCACCACGCCCGGCTAATGAAGCCTTTTTTTGATGACTCAAATCTCTATGAAAAATTTCTCCACTGCATCCCTCCTTCAGTATTAATTCTAGCTGCTGCTTCAGTCTGGACTGTCATCTTTCACCTGGACCAACAAAAAGGTGTCTTAACTGGTTTCGCCCACACTTTTCCATAACACTGCCCCAGAAGATTTTTCTAAAAATAAGAAATATATTCAACAGTAACCATGTGGCATGGGAAAATCCCATGGATTATGGATGTGAACTATTGATCTTATTCTACCTCTCTGCCACTGTCAATCCTCCCGCTTCTAATCCCTGTCTAAGCCGCTTCCGTTCAACTGCTTGGCTCTACATGCATTTCTTTTTCCTACAGAAGTACAGGGCCTACTTTGGCCTTTTAGAGAACACCTATGTCTAGATACAGTGAAGTCAGACTTTAGAAAAATAGGTCTTTCTTGCCCCACATCAATGCAAACCAGTCCAATATACTCCTGAGTATATGTTACAAACTGTAAAACCAAGGGGGATGCTTAATAAATGTGTTAGAATGTTGCACAAGTTCCTAGCCCCCTTACCAATTTGGCTGCACACCTTTATCATCCTGTTTGTTACATGCTACAACCTCAGGGTACCTAGTTTGATTTTGGTGTCTGGAAATGGGAGGGGCTACAAAATGAAGACAAGACTAAAGGACATAGAGACAGTTCACAAAAGGCAGCAAATCATCAACAGTCTATGAAAACATCTTCAACTTAACTAGCATTCATGTTTGAAATACAGCAGTAAGATATCAGTTATCTCTTACGCTGAAATGGACACATTGGGACCTTGGGTTTGCAAGGCAGGCGGTGGTACCACTGAGCTAAATCCCCAGCTTGGACAGATGTCTTCCTAAATAAGAATCAAATAATGGGTATTTCAAGTAAACACTGAGTGATTCTAAGAAAATGACTACTCTCTTGGGGCCAGGGATTTATTAGCTCAGTGGCACTGTGCCTGCCTTACAAGTGCAAGGTCCTGAGTTCGATCCCAGTACTGCAAAAAAGGGAAAGAAAAAAAAAATGACTACTCTCTCCATCACCAGCAGTGGTAGGGCATACTGGAAATATGCAGCCAATACCTTACAATGCTAGAACATTTGTCCAGCAACTCTGTGCCTAAAAACTTGTTCTAAAGAAATAGTCATTGATACACTCAAAGATCTATGTTTATGACAGTGTCAATCACTAATAGTGAAAGACTGCAAGCTGTATGAACGTATAAAGAAGGAACTGGCTAAACAGACTGCGGTATCTGTGAGTACTAGGCAGACAATATAATTATGTTGTCAATGCCACCTGCCTCACAAGTGCAAGGTCCTGAGTTCAATCCCTGGTACCAAAAATATGTATGTTGTCAATATATCATTAAATATTGTTTTTCATCACAGGAAAATAAGCAGGCTATAAGAAGTAGGTACATATTTGTATGGTTCCACGTAAAGTACAAAAGCAATCAAAGCTCTGCAGTTAGAGATCAGTTTAGTGGTTACCATTTGGCAGGGATGGGAGAGAACAGGAAGAAGCTTCTGGGGTGTTAGCAGTTTTCTTTTTAAAAATGAGTGCTATTTAGTTTGGGGCATTCAGTTTGTGAAAATACATCAAGCTGAACAGTTACATGCATGAAAAGAATGTGTATTATACACCAAAAACATTTTTTAAATATACGAATTTTCCCTAAATAGGTATCATATGGACAGGCTTTCAAAAATAGTCTGGAAGAACAATTTTATTCTCAATTCATTCAAATCACCAAGCATCTCCTATGTTCGCTGTGCTAGACTGCATAGAGCAGCAAGCAAGATCTTTGTAAGGTTAGGAATAACTCAACTCATAGGAAGCCCCACAGGGTAATGAACATTTCTTTTCTTTAATACGTAACATATCCTGGGAGTCTGGCAATGCGCTAGGCTCTGCATTGAGAGAAGACACCCTAAAGTACATTAAAGCTAAGGTGATTGTTCAAAATAAGCCTAAGGAGTCTTTAAAAAAAATCAGAAAAAATTCTACTCTCACATGCATGCTCTTCTTGAAGGATGTCAATTAGAAAAAGGCAGAAATTTTCAAAATGAGAAAAATACACAGATCTATCAAAGGTCTAATGTAAAGGGCAGTCACCATTACACCACTACGTGTACCCTTCCCAACTCCAGATATCTCCCAAAACACAATGGCACAGCCATCAGCCACCACCCTACTACCACTTCTCTGTAAAATTCATGGAGTGTTTACTACAAATTAGGCACTATTCTGAGTGTTTTATTAATTGAATCTTCTCAATAACTACAAAATCATTGTTTAATAAGCAAGGAAACTGAAGCACAGAGATACAATTAGCACACAGGGATAATTTTGAAGAACCAGCCCCTGGCAAAATTACAAAGCAAACTCAGTTTGTTTTTTACCTACACACCCTATGCCTGTCTCCTATCAACAGATCTGAAAGCAGGGACAAAATAGCCACTGCAACACCTGCCACTCTAACTCCAAGTATTTGAGCGTATAAGCTCCATTCCTTTTCTTTGATTTCTTTCCAAATAATCTACAAAGAAAAGTCTTTGGGGGGAGAGATTACATTTTCAAAAATTAACCATTAAATAATTCCTAAGGCATTTCCAAAACCAGTATGCAGAGATTAAAACAGCCGCTAAATTCCCCTAGGACAATGGTTATCGCCTCTATTTTCCTCTACAGTCCCTGCAGGTGAGCTGGATGCCACAGGAGACAGCTTCTGCCTCACCAGTTGCTCTCCCAAACTGGTTTCAGCTGGCTAAGACAAACTACCAAATTAGAAAAGCCGCCCATTCTGGAAAGCAAGTGACTCACTCAACTCCTTGCTCAACTGTCACCTCTACAAAGTGACCTTACAAGATCAATCTATTTAAAATAGCAGCCCGTCACTCTTTATCCTCTCAAAGTTTTATTTTTATTCACCGTACTATGACTATCCCCCAACATTTGTAATTACTTCCTGATGCCGGCTTCCCTTCCAAATGGTACACTGAACGAGGGCAGGTGCTTTACAGTGCATCACTGCTGTAACTCTACACCTAGATCAGGAGCTTGCCAGAGAAAGCTCTCAAATGTCTGCTGCACCCACTGCCAGCCAGAGGGCTTTTTCTTTTAACATTCAAGGAAAGACACCTTTTCAAAACAATAACAACACTGCTTTAAGAGTAATGATGATGGAGACAGAACAACAAAACTAAATTTTAATGTTAATCTTGGAAGGATACTTGGCAAAATCTTGGCTCAGGCTCAAAATTTTAAATACGAGAGCAAAAAGGGAAAAGAAACCATGGGAAAGTGTGCAATCAAAATGCTTCTATTTTTAATTTTGAAAGTGCCAAAAGGAAAATAAGAAAATGAGGAGTCTGTCAGATTTGATTTACGTTAAAATATCCTATTTATTGTCTATCTAGATGCTCAGTATCATTCAAAGTTCATTTTATAAGTAGTATTGATCTTCCCCTCATGTTTTGTTCCTTTCTACAGTTTACCTGTTTCTTTAATCCAGCCTGTTCTAAGTGGAGAGGTAAAACTTGTTTTAAACTAAGAAACTGTCTGGCAGGTCAACAAGGATTTAAGCTTGAAAGCAAGCTTTTTGCGTTTTACTGAATTCCCAAAGACTGTTAAAGTCATAAATATTCTAAGGATGCTCTGCAAGTAGATTCCAGGATTCATACTTTTACAAAGCAACCTATAAAATACAATCCCAGCAGATGTTATCAAGCATCATATATATGGCACTCTTTGGTCAGCCCTGTTAATAAAAACATAAAGAAAACTTCGACCATTTCACAGGGTAAACTAACTGTAATACTACATTTTCACTAAATCACTTAAACAGTGTTTAATTCTATTCAAGTCACACGAGTAACCTTTCGAAAGAGCTGGTGGTTTGTTCAATAGAAAAAATTGTTACTAAAATAACTCCAATATAAACCCTTATAATAGTTTCGAGGACTGCTAAATACTTTGTAAGTAAAGGCTCAGCGCCATCTAAGTAACTGCAAATACCCAACTTTTGGATTAGAAAACAGCTGTTTTGAGGAGCGATGTTAAGGGGGTTAAAAAAAAAAAAACCCAATGCAGTTTTAAAAACATGAGTTAATTACCTCATTTGAAAAACAGCTTTCTAGGTCTCTACATGTCGGGCAAGACCTTAAAAAAGAAGACAAAAAAAAAGGGAGCCTAACGTTGGTGGAATCCGTCAACAAAACCCACTGGGAAGCCAGGGTGGACAGAGCATTCTATTAGGCTGAGAAGCGAAAAGAACAAAGATTCCATTCCCAGGAGATTATGTTTTAGAGCAAACGGGCACGAGGGTTAAAAACTGTGGTATTCCCACATCTACTTCATTAGCAGGCTACGTGATCCAAACTCCCAGGAATTCCACTTACAGCTGTGCTCTATTTCACGTCCAGATTTATTTACTCAGCTTACACCACAACCAAAAAACACAAAACACAGGGTATGCTCTCGGTAAAGTTACTCTTTAAAGCAAACTCGGCACCTTTCTCGCACAAGCACCAACACTTCCAAGATCCTCAACTTGGAGCATTAGCCCGCACAGCTCGGCGGGTGCAGGACGGTCCCGGGCGACAGACGCGCCCTCGAGCTTGCTCGACGTGGGATGAAAAGAGCCATTTGTTCTGTTTCGGGACCGAACCGGCGCGCCCGCCCAGCCTCCCGCGGGGTTCCCCAGG